TTTTTTTAATAACTACACTATGTTCGTCTCTCAAGTTCTTTTTCGCCTTAAACTACCTTCCTACCACTAGTCCTAAGACTATATAGAGGGGACCCCTGCAAGCATAGGGCCTCGCAAATGAGGTAATTCATGTTGCCCCTCGCCCCAACAGCGGTAGTCAGAGATGGGGTGGGGCCGCCGGTGGGGGTCCGGCTAAACGCAAAGACCGCGCATTTTGCAAGAAGCTGCGCCTCCCTTTCTCATCGTCCCCCACCCCTCATCGAGTAGCAGCAGAGGCTATGGCCAACACTCTCCCACACACCACACGCAACCCACTCGCGCTCACACACACCTGTGTTGGTCATAGACCCCGTTAATACCGATCAGGGGTATCCAGAGGACTATCACAGTCCGTTGGCACTAAGTGCGCCGCAGGCGGCCACGGGGCTTGAACCCACAACCTCCTGAATGCCACTTGCATGCCTAACCAATCATTTGGGGGGAAAAAAAGGATGTGCAAGGAACATGAATATGGACAAAGCACAAAAATCCAGAATGCAAAATCACACTGAAGTCCAAGTAGTCAAAGCCAGAGCAGATAGCACAATGGAACCGAGTAACCATCCAATTGAGAATGATACAAAAGAATCGTGAGTCAATGTCCATGCCCAGCAGGGCAACACCAACAGCATAACCCAATGTAGCTCTCTCTTATGAATGGCGCCAGGCGCCCTATCTACTCTACAAACTAAGCCTACAACTACAGCAATGAAAGAAACCAGACAACTTGACTACCAGCGAGTGATGATGTCAACACCAATGTCGACCTCCACCTCCACCAGGTACGTGTCCTATTCATCCACACTCTCCCTTGTTACCCACACAGCGCCCTTCACCTCCGAAGAACCACCTTCACCCTCACCTCTTCTGCGCACACAGGCAGCCCGGCTATGGCCGCCAGTGCCTTGCGCCCACAGGCAGCGCCCTACCGCCTAGCGCATGCCTGTCTCTCACCTCCGCCTAGCACAGCACAGCAGCGCAGCTGCTCGCATTCGCGCAGCGTGCCGGCAAAGCCCCCATTGGCCAAAGATGCCTGCCCACTCGCCCTGCTTGCCTATATGCCAGTGCTGCATGTGGGCGGCCTCCCTTCAGCCTGCGACTAGGCCCCAGTGGTTGAACCCAGCCCGATACATAAGGCCCGGGGCAATGCAGTTGCGCCTCTTTCATCAAGGCCTGTGGCCAGATTCAGATAGTGGGCCGATTTCCCTTTGGCATTTTCGGCCTCTATACCCATCATGCATTGTCGGCCTCACGTTCAAGTGCCCAGGGCCTAACTAACTCAGAGTTTTGAAGGTCTCCCTCTGCCCAGAGGTCTTGGAACAGGCATGTCTCTATGCTCCAGAATGTCGCCGACGTCCATGTGGCCATCTATGGCTGGGGGGGCAGCATCGATTTCCTTTAAGGGAATTGATCTGTCTCAACGAAAAGTGCAAGCTTTGAGGCGTGAAAAACTGGGTAGTACGCAGGTGATCAGGGATACGCATAACGTAGGATGGATCATCCAAATCATTCCCTGCTACATCCTAGACTTACCGTGATGGATCAACTAACCTTTTATTCCCTGCCTTATCCAGAATGCATAATCCATCAGGAGATGGTCTTTCCGGTAGGCTTCCACCATCGATTGAGTTAGCTCGTGAGATATGCCAAATTTAGAAGCTAGTGCCCTACATGACAGCGCATCAGCAACTTGTTATCCTCCCCCTTCAATTGTTTAAGGGCATTGGAGAGAACAGGTTGAGTCTTTAGTCCACTTTAGAATCTGATGATCAGTCCTTGATTAGAAGAATTTACCCAACAGTTAGTGTTTCTAGTGGATTAGAACCTTGTATAGGACATAGAGTTCCCTCTCTTAAGTGGACTTAGCCAACTTCTTAGATGACATCCTTTTGCTCATACTCAATCAGCCTCAACTTCTTCCCTGCCTGCTGGGCCAGCACTGTGCCAATCCCATAATGGTTAGCGTCAGTGGTTACTATAAATGGCCTCTGAGGATTGGGAATCATGAGAAACTCGTGATTCATGAGTGCGTGCTTCAATCATTTGAAGGCAGCCTCACACTTATCATTCCAGTCCCATGAGGTGTCAAGTCGAGTATGATCTATCAAAGGAGAGACGACTGTAGAATAGTTTTTTTACGAAACTCCTATAGTAGCCGCTCATTCCTAAGGAAGATCTAACCTCAGTCACCCTCTGAGGATGTGGCCAGTCCCTAATACTAGCCACTTAGAGGCTCTGCGTTCTTCACTATGATGGCTTTGAGGCCTCTATAATCAAAGCGCATCATCAAACTTCCTCCCTCCTTCGTTACAGACAGCACTGGGGATCCGAAGGGAGAAGTACTAGGCCGTATACATCCCTTCTTCTGTCAGCTCCTTCAGTTGTCGATAGAGTTCGTCCTTCTCGGCCAAGGCCATCCTATAGATTCTTCCCTTTTTGAGGTTTTACTCCCTGGAATTATTTCTAGGGTGTGGACTATCTCCCTTTCAACGACTCCTGTGGGCTTCTTGAACAGATCAAGGAACTTAGCGACGGTATAAAATAGGTACATGCCTTCCTCTTGGTTTTGTATTATAGAACGTTGTTGTTCATAAGCACGCATAGGACTCAAACAACCTACTAGCCTCTCTCTTAGCTAGTCTAATGGTTCTCCTATCAGGCGACTCATGCTTCAACACTTTCTTGTCCCAGTCCAACTGGGGCTTGGCAGCCTCAAGGTAGTACATTCCTAACAACATGTTGATTGACAACTCGTCAATAATCTGGAACGAAATCCTATGATTAAGTTCCCCTCCTCCAAAAGAGAAGGTCTAGACTACGTCCTTGACATAGTCTTTCACTCACTACAAAGTGCTCGTCGTTGGCCAAAGTAGATGCTACCAGTCTACTAAGGTGCTGTACCTGGTCCTATGGCGCAGCCTTTCCATATGGTCAGAGCTTATGTAGTTCCGCGTGGAGCCAATGTCAACGAATGTAGCGGACCTCGGATTGGCCTGTGAGACCAGCCCCTTGGCCTGTTCTCACAGGCCTGTGTTATATTCGGGGTAGGCCAGTCCAGGCCGGTACCTCTGTCGGTACCAGCCAATCCAGTCCAGTCCAGTCAGTCCGCTGGGGTATACCCCAGCCATTGTCTGTTTTCAGTCTCATTCCTCACTTGCACATTTTGGAGTACGTGCGTTGGAGTCT